AAGAAATAATCCAAGGCATGTTGATTGCTAGAACCCCAAAGTTGACCTTTGAAAAGCATCAGCGATGGCCAGTCAGTGGCACACGCTTTTAATCCCCACACTCAGAAGGCAAAGGCAGGTGGACCTCTGTGAGTTCAAGACTAGCTTCGTCTGCAAAGTGAGTTCTAGGACAGCTAGGGCTACATAGAGAAACCCTGTCTCAAAAACAGAGCAAAGCAACAACAGGGGGGAAAAAAAGCCCCAAAGCATCAGAGAGTAGCATAAGCCTTCTGCAGCATTTGCCCAGGAGCCAAAGGAGAAATAGCAATAGGCACCAGAAACAAAACCACAGCAGTGCGGGTGTGAGCAGATGAGAAAACTGCTGCTGGAACAGCTTGTACAAGTGTGAACCCTAGAGGGAGTGGACACTGTTGGGCGGGTTAGAATTCAAACTGCCAAAGTAGTCTCATGAAGAAGCAACAGATTGAACCTGAAAACCAGAGGTCAGAGGGCTGAAAACAGTGACCAAAGACCTCACACTCAAAAGGCACCGGGCCCTGATAGCCTTATGTGTTGCTAAATCTCTAGGAAAGGAGCTTTCTTCTGTTTCACAGACTGCTTAGAGTATGAAGTGGGGTGGCACCCAGCTCATTTTGCTAGATTGCCAACCCCCTGGCCTCACCACCCCACAGTCTAATCACGCCATACAAGGTCAGCCTAAAAAAGGCGAGCCCAGGCCTGTCTAAAGGAGAATAGATCCAAAGATCTCCAGTAGAATATTGTCCACTTGACTCCAGGCAAGGGTTGTTAAACCATGTGTTCTCAAAGAATGTTCTGTTGGGAAATTGAACGACTGCAAAGACCGAGGGCAGCCTGGAGTGGAGCCCAGTGGAGCCCAGTGGAGCCTGGGGACTCGGCAGAGACCAGCATCAGCACAGAAGCAAACAGCTCAGGACTTGGTGTTGCACACCTTTAATGCCAGCACTCAGGAGGCCCAGGAAGGTGGATCTCTGCGCGTTCAAGGCGAGCTTGATCTACAGAGCTAGTTACAGGACAGCCAGGGCTGTTATACAGAGAAACCCTGTCTTGAAAACAAAGTTCTCTGACCTCCTTATGTAAACACACACGGTGGTGAGAAGGCTCTCCCACTAAGAGCTCGTTCTGCCCCTGCAGAGGACTGGAGTTTGGTTCTCAAGGCCTATGTCAGGTGACTCACAACTTCTGTAACTTCAGCTCCAGAGGAGCAGATACCATCTTCTGCCTCTGCACGCATGCGTGCCTATGCATCCCACCCCAGCATACTAGCTATAAATCTTAAACAAAAAGCAGGCAGGGCTAGAGAGGTGGCTTAGAGATTAAGAGCTCTTCTGGAGGTCCCGAGTTCAATTCCCAGCACTCACATGGTATCTCACAACCATCTAGAATGAGATCTGATGCCCTCCTCTGGTGTGTAGGTTTTCATGCATACAGAACACTGTGTATATAATGAAATATTTTTAAAAAGAAAGAAGGCAGGATTTGAGAACTCTGTAAAGTGTGGAGGGAGGGAGGCAAAAACAGGCTATTGTAATCTCTCAATTTGGCATATGCTATCTCATTTCAGGGCCCAGCAACCTCCCCAGATCGGTCCTCAGCAATGAGGGCACCTCAGGATATGACAGAAGCCTCGGGGGTCAGTGTTGGAAAGGAAGAAAGTGGGGTGACTCCCTTAGGTGAGCAACTGGCCTCTTTTCCAGCTTCCTTCCTGATGATCAGGGGTTCTTGTGTCGCAGGCTAGGGCAGGAACTTGCCTGGCCATTGTTACCTGCTCAGTGAGTGCCCCTGGGACAGCTCAACACATGCCCGTACCTTTGGGGAGCCCATGGAAGGTGGGGTCAGACTCTTGCTGTCTGCCAGGTGCTGCTTTGCCTGTGCGTAGGACCCATAGCAGCACCTAACAGATGCGGTCCCTGTAGTTAGGGCTAGCCCCGGCTGGCACAGTCTCTGCTCGGCCTCCTGAGTGCTGAGATTACCGGCATGCCTGCAGCATGCCCCAGTGAGAACCTGCTGCAGTGTATTTAGATCCAGGGTTCCAAAAGGACTCTCCCAGGGGTGCGTGCTGCTAAACCACGATTGGGCCCAGGCAGCCTGCTTCAGATCCTGTGCTTCCTCAACCCCTTTCAGATCAGCTCCCACTTTTCCCTCCCCACTGCTGTGTCAGAGTTCTGTATCATGTGCCCAGCCCTTGAGATGGGCGTGGAGTCTGTTCCATCTCTTTAGGGTGAGTTGACTCCATGTGTCTCTAGACAGTGGGCCAGAAGCCAGATATCCCGGAAGATACCGGGTAACTGGAGGGTGGGGCTGGAACAAGGGGAGACAAATGGGCATTTCAGACAGAAGAGGACACTAAGTTCATGATGTAAAACTACCAAAACCAAGGCTGTGGGAATGCCTAGGGCAGATAGGACACCTGGACAGAGCGGACATATATACTTACCTGCCTGTACCTGTTTGTTCTGTTCGGACCCCCTCAGCCTTACCCAGTGAAGTCAGCCTACCCATCTGTGTACCCTTCCCTCCCCACACCTGGTTTCTTTGGTCCTAAATCAGTGTGTACCCTCACCCATGTGTATTGGTCCACTCCCGCAGCGCTCCTCCCTCTTGCCCGCTTGCTGTTTGTATTTGTCTTGTTACTCCCTCCTCGGGTCCCTATCTAGTCGGGTACCCCTTGACCTAGTATTCATCAGGGAGTGTCGGGCTCCTTGCTAGAAGACACAGGGATGGGAAACCTGCCCTTCATGCCACCTCCATGTCCCCAACTGTGCTGCCCATCCTGACCCTGCTGCTTCTCCCTACCCCTGCAGGAACCGGGGCCTCCGGGACAGAGGTGCCTGCAACTGAGAACGCAGGGGCCACGCGCCTTTACAAGCAGGAGCCGGGCAGCCCCCCATCAACCCCGCTGGCACCCGTCCCCGTCCTCCCTGCTTTCCTGGCGGCCCCTGGCACTGTATCGTGCCCCGAGTGCGGCAAGTCTCCCCTGAAGCCGGCTCACCTGTTGCGCCACCGGCAGAGCCACTCAGGCGAGAAGCCGCACACGTGCCCTGAGTGCGGCAAGGCATTCCGGCGCAAGGAGCACCTGCGACGCCACCGTGGCACCCACCCTGGCAGCCCGGGGCCCGCGCTGCGCCCCCTGCCGGCGCGTGAGAAGCCACACGCATGCTGCGAGTGCGGCAAGACCTTCTACTGGCGTGAGCACCTGGTGCGCCACCGCAAGACCCACTCTGGTGCTCGGCCCTTCGCCTGCTGGGAGTGTGGCAAGGGCTTCGGGCGGCGTGAGCACGTGCTCCGCCACCAGCGCATTCATGGCCGGGCTGCCGCAGCGCAGGGGACTGCAGCACCAGGTCCGGAGGGTGGCGGTGCCTTCCCACCCTGGGCCCTGGGGTAGCTGCAGTTCCAAACACCTGCTGAAGCGGCGTCATCCCCTTAGTACCCCACCCACCTCCCTGCCACCTCTTTCCTGCCCAAATGGTGCTTTCCCTTTTCAGGCCCCATCTCCACTCCTTCCTCCCTTCTGGAGCGTTCAGCTTTCACCTGCCCCTACAAAAGATCCTTCTCTCTCCCCCTCCTTTCCTTCTCTTTTTATGGAGGGGAGACCTGTCCCAGGACACCCTTCACGTGGGAAAAGGCACTCAGGGAAGGAGGAAACCCCCTCCTCCTCCCGCCTCCTGAGGAAGGCAGTCTTGGGCCCCACGACAGAGTCGGGGCCAAAGGCAAGAGGCGGCAATTGTTTCTGAGGAGCAGGCCCAGACTAGGATCTGGTTCTCTGCACAGCTCAAAGGCATGAGGTGGGCAGAGGTGCCTGAGAAGCTTGTTAGAGATGGCAGGTCACCAGCATCAGTGAGAGTAATAAAGTGATGGACTCAGTGTGTACAGGAGTCTGGGACTCTCCTGTGTTGTGGGAGGTTGAGCATCTGAGGCACAGGGGACTTGGGTGGGGCTCCACCTCACGTTCACATTGCAGAAGCAAGCACTAGGTTCATGGAAGGTCTGGTACCAGACCCGCTCCAGTCCAGCTTGTCCTGGCTGCTGAACTTCAGGCAGGTGGTGCTCCTCTGCAAGAGTTCATTTTATGTTTTTGTATCTTTTGAGACAAGGTTTCTCTATAGCTCTGGCTGCCCTGGCCTCCTCCTGGGTGCCTAAAGGCCTGTGCTACCACGCCGAGAAGTTCCAATTTCTTAAATTGTGCTTCACTGTCACCCCCCACCCATGCCGAGTTATCCAGTTAGGTGACTCCGTGTCATCAAAGGACCCCCCAGATAACCAGTGCCAGCAGTCTGGGACAGTGCGGTTTGCCAAGAAGACTCCATTCTGGCCTTGGAAAGGTGGAGGCTGCCCTTTGTCCTCAGTCTGCCCCGTGACAGTGCAGCAGTCTAGACCTGACTATCCAGGGAGGAAACCCACACGGGAGGAAGTACAACGACCCTTGGCCCGCCCTGCTGGGGTCTTTGGACACTCCATTTGAGCCCCAGGACTCTGCTTCCACACCATCTCTCAATGTAAAATGCACAATGCGGGGGTACAGTGGAAGGTCCCCAGTGCTTTGAGATGGTCTTGCCAGAGCAGCTCAAGCTAACTTTTGAACTTACTGTGTAGCCAAAGATGACCATGCGTCTCCAATTCTGTCTCTGCCCCCCAGTTTTGGGAACATAGATGTGCATGCTGATGCCTGGGGTTCAATACTGTGCCACCATGCCCAGGTTTTATTCTCTATGTTTTTTTTGTTTTTTTGAGACAAGGTCTCTATGTAGTCCCGACTGTCCAGAAAAACTTGCCATGTAGATCAGGCTGACCTCAAACTCACAGAGCTCCGCCTGCCTCTGCCTCCTGAGTGCTGGGATTAAAGGTTTGGGCCACTATGCCTAGTCCTATTCATTTATCCATTTATTTATTTGCTTGTTTTTCAAGACAGGGTTTCTCTGTGTAGCTTTGGTGCCTGTCCTGGAACTACCCTTATTTATTCTTATGGACACATGGGTCCTTCCCTGGAAGATGTGTCCAAAGAAATGATCAAAGCAGGATGCCTTTATACGTTTTATAAAAGGAATAATCAATGTATAAGTAAATGAAAATATGGATGGGGCCAGGTTCCTAGAAGAAATTGGGTGTTCACTAGGAAATTTGCTTCGGAGGGTCGTGTGGTAGGAAACCAGGGCTGGCTGTCTTCACCAGAGCAGACGTTCATTTGAAGCAATGACGCCCTCTAGTGGTAAGAGCTCTTTCTTGACCTGAGAAGGTGTCTGGGAGGTCTTGGAGCTTGCAGATAGGAAAGAAGGGTGGACAGCCCTTTCTGCAAAGAGAATTTCACCAGCGTTCCAAGGACCTGGCTAAGAACATGGCCTCCTCTTCACACCTTCAGCAGTCCTAATGGTGACGCCCCACCCCCCCCACCCCGTCAATCACGCTGCAGCTGCCTCTGGCTTCCAGTTCTTGTGGTCATGGGTAGGGTACTTCTAATTGGTTTGTCCACCATTTTACAGCCACTCTGTAGCTGTGAATGTGGACGTTCACAAAGGTGTAGACACAGATGGCAGGTGGGTGCCACCAGCACCTTTGACGAAGCTGCCAAGCCCCAGTGCCCATCCTAACATGGCCAATGAAGCCTAGTTCCAATACCTACACCAACGCTTTGCTGCAGAGTATGGGAAAGGCCCCGGGGGGGCCCACACTCATGCAGTGTCTTTCACGGCAGCACTGTGGTGAGATCTTAGCTTTGCCATGCGGTGGGATAGGCTGAAGTTGCATGATCAGCTGCAGACTGTCGGGTGCCTACGAGGAGGGTGGAGCAGTGGTAAAGTGGGGGTGTCATGCAGGCCCAGGGAGTTTCATTTGCAACAACAGGAACCACGTGGTGGAAACCCTGTGCTGGAAACCCTGTGCTGGGCTGAGAAACCAGTAGGTAAGAGCACTTGCTCTGTGAACGCTGGACTCGGGTTCAGTCATCAGCACCTGTAGCGTTGCTCGGTGAAACAGAATCGAGAACACATAGTCCTACAGCCATGGATTTTATTTATTTATTTTTGACCAAGAAGACTGGAGAAAAGATAGCATCTTAAACAAATGGTGCTGGTCACACGTGATGTTGGCATATAGAATGAACATAGATCCGCATTTATTACCCTACACAGATGGGTCAAGGACCTCGACATAAGACCAGATACACTGGATCTTGTCAAAGAGAAAGGGAATATAGGCTTGAACTCATTGTCCCAGGAACACCGATAACACAGGCACTGAGACCAACAGTTAATATATGGGGCCTCATGAAGCTGAAAGTTTCTGTAAGGCAAAGGGCACCATCCTTCGAGCAAGTGGCAGAATGAGAAATGTTTACCAGCTATATGTTTGTTTTTTTCAAGACAGGGTTTCTGTGTAGCTTAGGAGCCTGTCGTGGAACTCTCTGTAGACCAGGCTGGCCTTGAACTCAGAGAGAACCACTCTTGGCTCTGCCTCCTGAGTGCTGGGATTAAAGGCGTGGGTCACCACTGTCCGGCCCAGCTACAGGCTTTACAGAGATTTTGTAGCTAGAATATGTAAAGAAACGAAACATCACGAAAACAACCCAGTTTTAAAACTGAGGAAAGGAAATGGACAGAGTCCTCCAAAGATTAACCACAAATGGCCAAGAAACATTTAAAAATGTTCAGCTTCCTTTCCCATCAGTGAAATGCGAAAAAAAGATTTTGGGTCTTGATGACACACATCTTTAATCCCAGCACCTGAGAGGCAGAGGCAGGTGGATCTGAGTTTGAAGTCAGCCTGGTCTACAGAGCGAGTTCTAGGGCAGTCAGGGCTACACAGAGAAACTTTCTCGAAAACCCAGAACCAAGCAAACAAATTGACGACAAATTCTGGTAATAGTGTGGGGGAAGGCGAACGTGCACTCTTTGTAATGAGAGTACAAACTGGTGCAGCCACTATAGAAAGCATCCTGATTTCTAAAGGGATGGAGGGAGGGAGGGAGACAGAGAAACGGAAAGTAGCTGTAGCACATGATCCAGCCACACTGCTCTGTTCATTTACCTCAAAGACGGGACTGCCACACAGTAGAGACACCTGCTCACCCGTGTTCATTGCTGCTCTGCTCATAGTAGCCAGCAGGCGGAAACTGCCTGGATGCCCGTCAATCAATGAACAGATAATGGAGATTTACATTTACACGAGGGACTGTTATTCAGTGTCGGAAAAACAAAACGGAAATTCGCAGGTAAATGGAGCCGAAACTAATCGTTCTGCATGAAGTAAATCAGACACAGAAAGGCAAACACCCCACATTTTCTCTCGTTTGTGCATGTTAGCTTTAAGTTTTCACATTTGCCCTGTTGGTGGTGCACGCCCTTAATTCCAGCACTCAGGAGGCAGAGGCAGGTGGATCTCTGTGAGTTCGAGGCCAGCCTGGTCTTCAAGAGCTAGTTCCAGGACAGTCCCCAAAGCTTCAGAGAAATCCTGTCTCAAAAAAATTTTTTTTCACATTTATCTATTTCATTTGGACACCCCCTGAGGTCAGAAAGTAGTAAGGCGTGGCAGTAGGAGCTTTCAAGGGAGGGGAGCTAGAAAGTCGTGGTAGAAACGCCTCTTTTAGAAGTGGAGCCCCAGAGGAAGTTGACTTTTATCAGTGAAGCATGGGAGTGGGTAACTTGAGGGGCAGAGATGGAGGGGTTGTGGAGGAGAAACTGTTACTCAGGGTGGCCGCCCAGGCTTTCTGTCATAGTGCCCGGTCAGACGTGGCCTGGATCTACCTGAGTTTGGCTCCCCCTTCTGGCGACAAAGAGACACAACAGCTCCCCTGGCAAGGAGAGTCTTTTGGAGAGTCAGAGAAGAAAAGAGAGGCAGTGAGAGGAGATGGGGAGGAGTGGAGAACCCTGGGAGGGAAGGTGGAAATGTGGAGACGGGAGAAACGGCTCAGGGCCTAATAGTGCCTGCTGCTCTTGCAGAGGACCCAAGATCAGTTCCCAGCACCCATATCTGGTGGCTCATGACTGCTTGTAACTCCAGGTCTTGGGGTTCTGACACTCTTTCCTGGCTTTTGTGGGCATCTGTATATATGTGACACCCCCCTCTCTCCTGTATATATGTGATCTCTCTCTCTCTCCTGTATATATGTGATCTCTCTCCTGTATACATGTGATCTCTCTCACACACATAAATAAAATGAAAATGAAATTTTGCTGGGTGGTGCACACCTTTAATCCCAGCACTTGGGAAGCAGAGACAGGCGGATCTCTGTGAGTTCAAGGCCAGTCTGGTCTGTAGAGCGAGTTCCAGGACAGCTAAGGCTACACAGAGAAACCCTGTCTCCAAAAAAAAAAAAAAAAAAAAAAAAAGAAGAAGAAGAAGAAGAAGAAGAAGAAGAAGAAGAAGAAGAAGAAGAAGAAGAAGAAGAAGAAGAGAGAGAAAGGCTAGCGGTGAGGTCTTCCAGTCTCTCTTCTCTCCCCCTCCCTCTCCCCTCCCCCTCTCTCCGCGCTGTCTCCTGGTAACTTTTTCTAGGCTTCCATCCCACAGCCCTTCTGTCCCCTCTCCTGAGGACATCACTGTTCCTCCTCCCTTCCAGTTCCCAGAAAAGCCATTTACACCTCCTTGTCACTTTCTCCTTCCTAAGTGTCTTCCTCGTCCTCCCCCAGATCTGAGGTCACCCAGAGGAAACCTCAGGACAAGGGCTTTGCTGTCTCCCAGCTCCTTTCTTTCATTTCTCCCACGACTCTACCTTGTTCAGCGGGAACAAAGATGGACAGGGCGGGGCAGGGTAGGGGTTCCCGAAGAAGCACTTTGAGGGTGGGGTGAAAGCGGAGACTGAGACAAAGTCGTCCACGTTCAGTGGAATACGGGAAAGAGGCCTCTTAGTAGAGAGAAAGAAAAGGTCCAGGAGACCTGGACTCGCCACCATTTCTCCGGGAGCGGCGGCCAGCGGCAGGGTTGAACTCTCTCCTAAGGTTCATTCTCCGAAGCGGCTGCTGTCCGGTACAAAGAAGGACGGAAACGGAGGGACAGAATAAAAAAGTGGAAGGAGTTAGAGCAGACACAATGGCCTCCATCAGTAGCTATCCTACAGCTGTTTATCAAGATCCAGAAACCATTTTTTAAAAAAATTATTTATTGGCCGGTGAGATAGCTGAAGGTTGACGACCTGAGTTCAATACCCAGGACTCTCTTGATAGGACTGACTCCTACAAGTTGTCCTCCTGCCTCCACACATGCTTTATGTGTATGTGTGTGCACGTGCGCACGCGCATGGGTGAGTGTACCTGTATGCACACACAAAGGCACAGAGAGCGTCCTTTTTCACCATCCTCCACCTATTCCTATGAAGCAGTGTCTCTCCCTGAACTTGGACCTCATATTTTTCTTGGTTAGGCTGGAAGCCAGCAGGCCCTGGTGATCTCTGTTTCTGTCTGTCTGCACCCTCCCTGCACCTTAAAATTGGACTGGAGTCGCAGGGAGGTGCGTGATATCTGGCTGCTACACAGATGCTGGAACTCAAATTCCAGTCTTCATGTTTGTGCTACAAGCACTCTTAACTGCTGAGCCATCTCCCTAGTCCCTTGTTTTGTTTCTGTTTGGATCAGAGTCTCACTAAAGTCCAGGAACTCATGATCCTCAGGCCTCAGCCCCCAAAGTGCTGGGATCACAGGTGTGAGTCTTCAAGCTACACTCCAGGAGCCATTTCAGTATCATTTTAGCCACACAGATGTCCTGTGCCATGTGAGATGCGGAGCTAGAGAGATGCTGCACCAGGGGGAGATGAGGTTTGTGGGAAAGGAAACCACGGAGACAGAAAGACACACACACTCAGCCACACGTACACCACACCTGTGTGCACAAGAGGGAAGGGGGGGGGAGACCTTGAATAAACGTGCAGAGAAGATCAGGTCAAACTGGGTGTGGTAACAGCTACCTATTAACTCAGAAATGGAGGCAGGAGAATCAAGAGTTCAAGGTTATCCTCAGCTAAGACCAGCTGAGGTTATCCTCAGTTGAGGCCAGCCTGGGTTCCTGATGCCTTGTGTCAAAACAGAGACAGAAAAGAAACACTAGGGGGTTGGGATGGCTCAGGAGGTGGAGGTCGAGCCTGAGGGACCCACATGGTTGAAGGAGGAAACCGGGACTCACAAGTTGTTACGCTGTGGTGAGTACTCCACACCCTTGCTGTGGCATGGCTCACTAATGGAAAATACACAGGTCAGAGGGAGGATAAAGAGGCAGTGGGGGGGGAGGGGGAAAGTCAGCGTGCCTCCAGCCGAGGCTCTGCCAGGGGCAGCTGAGGCAGAGCAATGTTCTCTGCCACAAAGCAGCTTTGTCTGACCTCACAGACCAGCTAATAAACACTCAAGTGGATGAGTCCTCTCTCTGCCTCCATCCTTACCCCGCCCACCCTTGTCTCTCTCTCCCTAACCTCTTCCAACTTCTCATTCTCCTCAGAAGCATAAAAGCCAGGACCCCGAGAGCTGCTGAGTGTGGCCGACTGCACCCAGGTTTGAGCCCGGGCCGGAGGGGAGGTTGGAGGCTGGAGGGACTGGGGGCTGTCATGCTAAAAGTGTTGTGGGGAATGACAAGAACATGAGAGGATTGGACTGCAGAGAGATGGGCATCGGTGATGGGTCACTAGGAAGGGGCTGGCAGAGGCAGAAGCAGAGTGCGGATGGTGGGGAGGAAAGACTGGGCATGGGTGAGTTCCGTGGATGGGTGATAGTGGGCAAGAGACGCGCGCGGGGCGGGGAGGAGTCACTGTGCCCCTTTCTATCACAGTATTTATTAGTTATTTTTTTTTAAGATTTATTTATTATGTATACAATGTTCTGCCTGCATGTGTCCCTGCAGGCCAGAAGTTGACACCAGATCTTATTACAGGTGGTTGTGAGCGGCCATGTGGTTGCTGGGAATTGAACTCAGGACCTTTGGAGGAACAGTCAGTGCTCTTAACCGCTGAGCCCCTATCACATTATTTATTTTGTGTATGTGTGTGCTTGCCTATGTGCCCCAGCGTGCTTGTAGAGTTCAGAAGGCAGCTTCTTGGAATCATTTCTCTTCCCTGGGAACTGAACTCAGGCCGTTAGGCTTGGCAGCAAGCTCCTTTCCCTGCTCAGCCTTCTTGCTGAGCTCTGTTGTTGAGACAGAGTCTCGTGTAACCCAGGCTGGCCTGAAACTTGCTGTGTACAAGAGAATGACCTTTGCCCGGCAGTGGTGTGGCACACACCTTTAATCCCAGCACTTGGGAGGCAGAGGCAGGTAGATGGATCTCACTGANGAGAGCGAGAGCGAGCGAGAGAGAGAGAGAGAGAGAGAGAGAGAGAGAGGTGTGGGGGGGATGACCTTGAATTTCTAATCTTCCTCCTACCGTCGTGTCTGGCTCTGGTGACCAATACTCTATTCTTTTCCTGTCTCGTTTTTCTAACAGTTAGCTTTCTATACCACAGCTTTTAACTCAGTAGATTCAAATAATATAAAAGTTACCAGGGAAGGCCAGTTGGATGGCTGAGCTGATAAAGGTGCTGGAAGCTAACTCTAATGATGTGAGTTCAATTCTTAGGACCTACAAGGTGGAGGAAGAGAACTGAAATTTGTCCTCTGACTTCCACACGCAGACTGTGTACGGAGGATTTTCTTTCCCTTGTGCTAGGCAACATTGCCTAGAGGCAAGCTAAAGTATACAGGAGGGGCCTGGAGAGTTGGCTCTGTGGTTAGGAGCCGCTGCTGCTCTTACAGAGGACCTGGGCTCCGTTTCCAGCACCCTCATCAAATGGCTCACAATTGACTGGCTCACAATCGCCTGGCTCACAATCGTCTGGCTCACAATCGATTATAATTCCGGATCTAGGGGCTCTGACACCTGTTTCTAGGGCAGATGCACATAGGTTCTGTGCAAACGGCAGATTTGGAGACCTGTGGGGAAAGGTCCCATGAGCACTGAAAACAGTTGTATATACTTCATTGTTCATTTTCCATTAACCGACTCTCTCGTTTCTCCCTCCTCTCTACTCTTTCCTGTTTGTTTTCGAGTGCTGTAGGGTAGGTGTGGAGGTCAGGGGGCAATCCGAGGTTTGATTCTCACCCTTCAGCCCCTTCAGCTTGTTGGATGCAAGGCCCCTCTCTCTCTCTTTAAATATTTATTTGTTGAGTGTACATTGGGGTTCTGCCTGCATATATGTCTGGTGAAGGTGTCAGATCCCCTGAAGTTATAGTTGTGAGCTACCATGTGGGTGCTGGGAATTGAACCAGAAGCCTTTGGAAGAGCAGTCAGTGCTCTTAGCCGCTGAGCCATCTCTCCAGCCTCCGCTGTATAGCTGTGGAGCTGTAGATACCTGAGTAGCTGACTGTGAGCTCCTGGCACTTTCCTCATTCCAAGCTCCATTTCAGCGTAAGACAACTGGGATTACAGAAGCACATTCCTGCACCCGACTTTTCCATGAGTTCTGGGGATCCGAACACCAGTCCTCAGCCTTTCTAGGCAAGTGCTTTGTCTGTCCACTGAGCCATCTCTCCATCGTGTATGCGCACTTCCTCTCCCTCTCATTCCCGTTTCAAGATTTATTTCATCTGATCTTACATGCATATGCACCACGTGTGTTCAGGTGCCCGTGGAGGTCAGAAGAAGGTGTTAGATTCCTTAGAACCAGAGTTAAAGAGGTTGTAAGCCACCTGGTGTAGGTGCTGGGACTGAACACAGGCTTCTTCTTCTTCTTCTTCCTCTCTCTCTCTCTCTCTCTCTCTCTCTCTCTCTCTCTCTCTCTTCTTCCCTCTCTCTTTTACAATAGTAGCAAGTGTTTTGTTTTGTTTTATTGAGACATGGTCTGTCTGTGTAGCCCTGGTTGTCCTTGGAACTCCCCTAGACCAGGCTGGCTTTGAACTCAGAGAGATCCACCTGCTGCCTCTGCCTCCTGAGTGCTGGGATTAAAGGTGTGTGCCACTACTGCCTGGTAATAGCAAGTATTCTTAACCACTGAGCCATCTCTCTAGCTTCATCTTTTTTTATGACTTTGTGAGTGTGTGTGAGTGTGTGTATCCACAGAGTCCAGAAAAGAATGACAGATTCCCTGGAGCCAGAGTTACAGGCAGTTGTAAACTGTCAGTGTGCATGCTGAGAATTAAACTTGGGTCCTCTGGAAGAGAAGGAAGCACTTTGAACTGCTAAATTATCTTTTCAAGTTCTCTCTCTCTCCCTCTTCCTCTCCCTCTCATTCATTCATTCATTCTTTTTTTTTTTTTCAAGACAGGGTTTCTTTGTAGCCTTGGCTGTCCTGGAACTAGCTCTTTTAGACCAGGCTGGCCTTGAACTCACAGAGATCCGCCTGCCTCTGTCTCCCAAGTGCTGGGATTAAAGGCGCGCGACACTGCCACCCAGTATTCATTTTTAAACAGTATCTTGTATCCCAGTTTAGCTTCAAACCCAAGGATGACCTTGCATTCCTGACCCTCCAGCCTGTACCTCTGGGGTGCACAGCCTATTCCTTTAAAAAAATTATTTATTTATCATGAATACAGTGTTCTGCTTGCATGTATGCCTGCAGGCCAGAAGAGGGCGTCAGATCTCATTACAGATGGTTGTGAGCTGCCATGTATGTGTGCTGTGAATTGAACTCAGGACTTCTGGAAGAGGTTAAGAGCCAAGAGCCAGTGCTCTTAACCTCTGAGTCCTTGTTTTATTTAAGTACATATTTCAAAATGAAGCTTAAAAAAACTCTTAAGCCAGATGTGGCATATACTTATCATAGGAGGATCAAAGTTTGAAGCAAGCCTGAGTTTAAAAAGTGAGCATCCTGTAGGTTTATCCTGTAGCACAAGCCTGCTATTCTAGCTGCTTAAGAAGTTGAGGCAGCCAGGCGGTGGTGGCGCACGCCTTTAATGCCAGCACTCGGGAGGCAGAGGCAGGCGGATCTCTGTGAGTTCAAGGCCAGCCTGGTCTACAAGAGCTAGTTTCAGGACAGGACAGGCTCCAAAGCTACAGAGAAACCCTGTCTCAAAAAAAAAAAAAATGAATTCAAGGTTACCTTGAGGAAATTAGTGAGATTCTATATCAAAATAAATCACATTAAAAGTAGCAGCAATGTGGAAGTAGTGAGACTGTGTCTCAGAACGCCATCACAGCAGAAAGGTATTGCCTTGTTAAATTGGGTGCCAGCAAACCCTGCAAATTTTGAATTGGTTAGAATCAGTATTGGAGAACTTTCTTCAGAAGTGCCCATTTTTTGGTGATTTAACCCTGATGAATCCACAGCAAAAATCTGACTCTTCTTCCAGCTCCCAATCTCCTGAGGAGCTAGAAGCGATCAAAGCTCGAGTCAGAGAGATGGAGGAAGAGGCTGAGAAGCTAAAGGAGCTACAAAACGAGGTAGAGAAGCAGATGAATATGAGTCCACCCCCAGGCAATGCTGGCCCAGTGATCATGTCTCTTGAAGAGAAGATGGAGGCTGATGCTCGTTCTATCTATGTTGGCAATGTGGACTATGGTGCAACAGCAGAA